TTTCTTTCTTTCTTTCTTTCTTTCTTTCTTTCTTTCTTTCTTTCTTTCTTTCTTCTTTTTGTTTTGGAAAACAAAGTAAAAGGAAAATTACAATGACATCAACACAGAAAAACTCAAAATAGAGCTGGGAGGCCATTGTGGAAGCAGAAATTTTAAGAATGATTACAGCTGCTGCCTGGAATGTGGAATTGGCCACCTTCATCCTTTTACTTTAGGCATCAGGAATGACCCAGAAATGATTAGACCACTGCATTGTGCCAGAGGGTCAAGATATACATGAACATATTATCCAAGTCTTGTTTTATGAACATCTGCATTTTGGTTACAGATTTTCTATATCTTCTGTTGGTTATATTCTTTCTCAACATATAAGCTTTTATTTTTCCGGCCTTCTTGGAACATTAATTCAGAGCTATCTGTGCCCATGCTTCCCAAATTGTGATTTCTACGACTCTGTATAAATGTAAAAGACCCTTTTATGTTTGTAGTTTTTGAGTTTGAATTGTTTAAGAATGGTAATATATATATATATATATATATATATATATATAAATATATATATAAAATTTTATGTAGCCAACTTTTATTTATTTAAGAAACTAGGTCTGATTCATTGCAGGGATTCTGCATTCTACACACATTGTAAGCCAGCAGTCTCCCTGGCACTGTTTAAAAGTCAGAGTAGCGGTAACAGTTGTCCACTGCTGCTGTAGCTTCCTCTTTTGAGCCAGCTCGTTGCTCAGGACATACTTTAGTTCTTTCCAAGAAATTCTCCTTTGGCTTTTTCTAAAGGGATAGAAATGATGAAGGGACTTGTAATTGTAACAGGTTTAATATTCAAAACTCTTAATAGTCTACAGTTCTTAGAAATAAACACCCCTTTTGAAGCATTAGATTTAACAAAAACATTTTTCAAGATTATTTGTAAAAGGCTGTAAGTGAAGCAGATACATTCAGCTTACTGATCACTATAGTATTGCATAAGCACAGCTCAGGGCTTGAGCTTTTATATCTTCCTTGGGGGTAACAGGGTTGGGCCATGCTTCCCTACCCCTAAAGAGCAGAGCTTTTAGTGGCAACAGCAGGATTACAGACCAGTGACTTTTCCCAAGAGCCCACTGGTTGGTCTTACCTGTCAGAGTGAGCTACCAGAACTTCCAGAGTTGAGATTTAACATTTATTTGAAATCACACATATCTGTCAAACAAGCCATGATCTAGAATCAAGAGGGTCATCAGGAGCCAAGGCAACCCAGCCTAGTTTTCCCCTCACGGTTTGTGTCCAAGCCAGCACTTACTAATGAGGGCAGCGGGTTTATCTGCAAAGGTTCTGACAAGCCCAGTTCAGGCCTCTGCTGGAAATACCCCATTTCAACAGGGCACTTTTTATGGCTCCAAAGATTCTCCTTTGTAACACACTCAGTTTCAGTGGGCTTCACTGCTCTTTGCTCTTTAGAAAAACCAAACCTCAGGGCTGACCGAGGCAAGACAAAGCCATCCACTGGACTTGGAAACTGTGGTTCTTAAAAGGCCTTTGTTGTCGCAAAGGCTTGCATGGGGAGTGGGAGGGGCTACCCAGGCTCCTGCTGTCCTAAGCTTCATCCCAATACTGTGACCAGACATTGGAGACGTATCATTCATGTGCACTTGGGAACCAGGCACTACCTGGATCATTTTCAGACTTTAAATTCTTCGATCTGACACAGGGCACGCTTTCTTGTGAATTAGTGAATAGAATATGGATGAAATTGATCTTAGAAATCTTGCTTGTAATTAAGGGGCACATTCATTATGACATTAATATTTTTCCTTTTTTGTAGCACTGTTGCATGGTTGCTTCCAAATTTTGAGAGCTTGTTTTCCCAGTATTTGAGGCATCTCCTAAAAGGCCTTGCCCTTTAAGTAAGGTCAGCCCTTCTCAGGTCAGAACAGTGAGGCCGGGACTGGCACCCCAGAGAGTCTACACCCGGTCCAGCTCCATCACCGAAGCAGCTTTCCCTTTTCCGGCCTCAGCTGCCCGGGCTTGAGGATGGGCATCATTTTTCCTGCTCTGCCCCTTAGTCCTTCCGTCCATGTAAACCACCCCTACAAATCTCATGACCACTATTTAAATTACTATTTTAGCATTAAAGTAGAACCACTATCAGTTCTAGAAACAAATGCCTGAAATGTGTTAAATGTTTAAACTGTTTCCCAGATGATCACAGAGGTAAACTGAACTGGACATTTGGGGCCCACCAGCAGGACCCATTGTGCATGGGAAAAGACAGGAGACGGGAAGTTACGCTCCCGCTCGGGAATGCAGTAGGTGCTCGGAAGTGCTGCTGAGGACAGATGGAGAAACAGTGCCTGGTACTTGGCAAGCATTCAGTAATTTCAAAAATGTAAGACATTACTAGAATGACAATTCTGTTTCTCTTCAGCTAAGGATGCTGTAGCTCACTGTTTACAATCTAGGAAAGTTTGCCTTCTCAGAAATACGATGCTCAGGATTTTGCTTAATATAATTCTTACTGTACACATTGTATAAAGCCAAAGATAAACATAGAAGAAAACAAAGTAGTCTTGGTTTTATACCCAACCCCATAAGGTGATTTTACTACAAATAAAGGACTTCTCACCCTGACTAGTGGGAGAATTAAAAAGCCTGCACTGATCCAGAAGAAATAATGTACAGCAGGGAAGATGGATTTAGTAGAGGTGGAAGACAAACTACAGGAAAGCAGGACCAGCCGCTGTAGAAGTGCCAAACTTCTGAGGTGTATTTAGACCTAAGCTGGTATTAACACCAAATACACCTGGCCCCGTTCTCCGGCTTGTGGGCACACACGGTCCTAGGGCTCAGTCCGTATTAGTGCTGTACGGGTGCAGGGGAAGCTTAGAAGCCCTAGTATCTCTGAGTCTATATGAAGGGTCCAGTTACGGTTCTTGGTAGCTTCTAATACCAACGCCTTTGGAGAAGTAGCTGTAAATACAACCCTCACCCCAATTAGGGATGAACCCAGCAAAGTTTTCCAGGCCGGGCCTTTGGGTATCTGTCTGGGAAACAGCTACTGCCCTGAACTCAAGCTCTACAGCCAGTTACTGCCAAGTGCTAGGCCCTGCTCCAGCCAGTGGGGCGCAGTCTCTCCCTGTTCTTCAAACTTTGGGCTGTTGAATCCATTTGGTGTGTGTCCAGAATAAATTTTCTTCCTTGCGGAACCAGGGATAGAGCCTAGGCAACCTCCACCACCGAGCTTCATCCACAGCCCTTCTTAGGTTTTGAGATACAGCCTCACTAAGTTGCCTGAGCTGGCCTGGAAATTAACAGTTGTCTTGCCTCTGCTTCCCAAGTTGGGATGACAAGCATTCATTACCACACCTAGTTTCAAAACAAGTTCTGAAGAGAAAATTATCAGAGTATATCCTGGGTAAGCCAGACCTTGGTTTCTGGTCCCATTCCCTTTAAAAGAAACCAAAGCTCCTTGAAGAAATGGCTGATTTCAGGGAGATGAAAATAAGAGTAAGTTTCGTCTGAAGCATCTTTTTAAGCTAGTAAACAAAGTGTTAAAAATTAATTATGTCGTAAGGATGTAGGAGCTAGCCTGAAGGTGCTCCATTTGGTCAAAGCTAAGACCTAAGCACCAAAATAATAAATTAGAATCACTGAAGAAAAATTCATAAGACCATAATAAAAATTAAATGAATGGATAAAATAGGGACGAAGAAAGGGCTTCTATGTACAGATTACTAAGTTCAGCTGGTACATGTGGATGGAATTCTAGAACTGGAAAATTATTTTCCAAGTGTTGTATAATATCAGAACAGGTATGAAACTGTATGCTAAATCTAAGGGAATATTTTGATGAACAAGATATCTGCCTGGTCTGACAATGTCTTTCACATATGTTGGTTATTATTTGCGGGGGTATAGTAGAGAAATTAGTCAACACCTTGATCAGGTTGTCAGAATTACCACCTCAATGAGAGGCAGATGGATAGCAAATGATTCTGGTCAAGAATACATAAAGTGACTCTAAACATCAAACTCAAAATGAGGTATTTTTCTATTACAAAACAAGATGGAGAGGCCTGTAGTCACAGAAGATACCAATGACAAAAGGTAAAAGCAAGTCGTAACAGCTACAGGCTATGTCTGCTCCTAGGCTAGAAGGTTTCTTGCGGGTGGGGGAATGCTACACAAGACATGACAGATACCAGGTTAAAATACGGTATCAGTGTGAACTTTGCTAAAGTTGATTAACTGATCTGCAGTTATGTAAGGCTGTCCATATAGACAGGAAATAAGCATCAACGTATTCAGAGGTAAAGGAGTGTGATGCATGCAACTTAAATGCTTCAGTTTTTTGGTAGGGATTCAGAGAAACATATGGGGCAAAATGTTAGTATGTGAACAATCAAGCGAATCTGGGTGAAGGGTACAGAGTGGGGTTTTTTGTACATGCAGCTTTCTTGGAGGTCAAAACGCTTTCCCAATAAACTGTGTAAAAAAATACTTCTAGTATATAGCAACTAAAAATGTCTTGGGTATCTTTTGTCAGCTTTCACAGAAAGGCCCAGTTTAATATCCGCCACTCCCCTGGGCAGGTCTCACGTGGTCCTGCACAGCTCTGCTGCCCACGTGCCTCGCTTACACTGAGCTCCTCCACGACCACGTGGAGCTCTTCGTGACTACACGGCTCCCTTTGGTCTTTGATTCACTTCAACGAGAAATCTGTAAAAACAAATAATCTAAGTGTGACTTCTACTTGGTAAACAGCTGTGATACAACTGGGACGAGATCTGTGTGGAGTTGTCCTCTTTACACCGATTCTGTACAGAGAGTGCAAAACTGATGTTTCACGGTTTATTTTCCCTTCGCCCTCCCACCCCACCCTTGGTGAAGGTTGTACCCATCTGAGCATTTCTGAGCACATGACCATGACTAATCTGAAAAGAGTGGAGCAGAATTCTTGTCTAGACAGTAAGAGAAGGGGATTAGCTGCAAAGATAGCATAACTACTGTGCAGTAACAGAAGCTGTCCAGGTCTTCTTGGTGGACGATGCATAGAAGACACAGAAGTATGGAACATCTGTTCCCCCAACCACCCTTACCCACCCTCGTTCCCCAGGTCCCCATTCCCGCCCTATTCCACCCTCCCCCCATTAATAGTGTTAACAAAAGCTTAATCTTCCAGTTTTAAAGTGCAAATGATTTGGGTATGACTGCTGTTGCAACAGGTCAGAACAGAAAAACACGAAGTCTTCTCTGTCTATGCGATGTTCTCCAGAATATAAAAGATGAGCTCCATGACGACGGGGCCCTCGCTGAGCTGGCAGGCCCCTCCGTGGATCACCGGCACCAAGGCGCTGTCCAGATCGTTCATGTACTGGGCGGGGAGGGGCTGGCCATTGCTCCCCGCTTGATAGCCAACCTGCACCACAGAGAGAAGGGGACGGCAGGTTACTTCCTAGGCAGACAAGACCGCTCCGGAGGGCTGAGCGCCAAGGAGACTGGACGCAAAAGGCAGTGTTCCTGCTGCTCCCGGCTAGATGCCCAACAGGGGATACACATCCCTTTCCTTCCCCGAACTGTCATGCCGCATCCTGTCATTTACTCATCCTGGACCCTTGAGAGCCAGAAGAGCTTGGGCTAGCCACTTAGCCTGTTAAGGTCTTGGTTTTGTTGGAAAGGGAGGTACAGAGAGTCAGAAATAATGCTGTAACCTTTGGTTGTTAAAACTGAAATGAGGAGTAGACAATGTACGACTTCCTAACACAGCATTTGTTCTTCAGCCCATCCAGTTACCCGTGCGCCATTTTCTGAGCACCTGCAAACACAGGGATGCAAAGATAACAGGGCCCCTGACCTCCAGAAACTATACATTTCACAGAAAAGTACTTGTTCTCTGCTTGTTATTTGAGAGTTTTCTCTCCAGCGACATTATTAGTACCTTTTGAGACAGGACCATGCTGCTTCATTAGCAGTTCCCCCAATATGCTTCCTAAAGCACGGGGCAGGGTCTCCAGTGGAAAAGAAATACCTGTTGATGGATGACTAGTCAGAAAATGGAGCCAGACACATAACCTTGCACTTCGGATAGAGCACAGTTCTGCACTTGGGAACCAGTGTCGGCCGTAAGCACTCGGGCCGCGAGCAGCACTTTGGGAAGAGCTGAGAGGTGGAAGGCAGAGGCAGGCTGAGAGCCCACCCTCGCTGTCTAATGGCTCAGAGCTGAAGGGCTGAAGAGAGACATCCGGCAACTGTAAGCATCAAAGCAGGACCCAGAGGACCTGCGGAAGGCAGCCAGCATCCAAAAGAAATGCAAGGAGATTAAGAGGGCTTCGCCACAGGGGAGAAACCGGGAAAGTAACTGGGCTTGGAAAACGAAGACCGGGTTGTTACTATGAAGAGCATAGAAAAACGTTAAGGAAGACAGGGAGGGAAACCTGACAATAGGAGATCTGAACTGATAGAACAATTACATATTAGAGAAACGGTTCAATTCTTAGCCTTGAACTAGCATGTAAGTGCTGTCAGAACCATCTCACTAAGGTATGGACAGCTGCAAAGTCCAGTTATCAGAAGCCTGCTCCAGTAGGGTTAAGAAGACTGGAGCCTGGCATGGTGGCACACCTGTAATTCAAGCACTTGAGAGGCTGAGGCAGGAGGACTGCTGAGCATTTAAGGCCAGTCTGAGCTAACTAGTGAGTTAAAGGCCAGCAAGACTATCTCCAAAACAAAAACAAACCAAAAAAAAAAAAAAAAAAAAGGATTAGTGATACCGTGGGACCTGCCCTCTAAGGGAGTGTTAGAGGGTAGTGCAGATAGATGCCAGTCACAGGGTGGCATTAGGTCCTCACATGACCTCCTCGGCCCACAGCAAGAAGAAAGGCAACTCCCTGGAATGCAGGCAGGGAGAGGCCACTGTCCTGATGGCTCTGAGAGCGCCTGACCGAGTGGCAAGTTCAGGTGAATTAGTACTACAAGCGGGAGAATCAGAATACTCCATCTGCTCAGACCAGGTCTACGGAGCTAAACTGGGTCAGTTCAGAAAAACTCACACAGCCTATAGACATCGCCCAAGGACAGCTTCAAAAGCAGCCCAAGACCTTCCTTACCTGATCTGAGTCAAGTGTCACACGCAATCCCAGTTTTGTCATTCCATCTTCCTTTAGAAGCTTCAGGTGGGGACAGAGAGCAAGGCAAAAGGCCTTGGCAACATGCTCGGTCAGCCTGCTGTGGTCTGCAGGGTCACTCAGGCAGTTATGCTGGTCATCGTTTTCCAGGAAAAACACCTGTTCCCCAAACAAGAGAGAACTTACGCTTGGGCCAGATTTTGGAAGACACAAGCAGGCTGGCTCACTGTACGGAAGCACCCTGATTCTCCAAGATGCGCAAGACACCATGAAGTGCATACGCTATAAAGTCCTGGGGCTATGAAAAGTGAGGCTTTATGGAAACAGTCCCTGCTCTCGGGCCTGTGCCGACACTGAGGGCGGCAGTGCTATCTTCCCGCAAGCCTCCATGCAGCAGGATCTAAGGGCACATTCTCCTCAGAAGCTGAGATGCCTATGTTTTTGCACTGACACATCTAAAAGGTAATATGTATGTGTAGACAATTTTCTTAAGAAATGATCTGAGAGTCTACATGCTCCACCCTAAGCTGGGGGTGGTAGCCCACACCTGTACTCCTAGGATTCGAGGAGGCTGGGGCAGGAGGACCACAAGTTTGAGCCTAGCCTGGACAACTTAGCAAGACCTTGTCTCAAAATAATAAAAAAAAAAAAACAGAAAATATGGCTCATAGTGAAGGTCCTGGTTTCAATCCTTAGTACCACAAGAAAAAACAAAAGACAACAAAGCACAACGACCAGAATAGCCCTGACAGAGGATGACCCAGCCCCTTTGTTTTACAGAGTATTCATGAAAGCGGAGAGGCTCACTCAAGTACACAGAAGTACTCAGAGACAGGCAGGCCCACAATCCAAGTCTTCTGCCTTTTGCTGCCGAGCTTTGCCCACCACGTGGCCCTGGCATTGTGCAGGCGAGAGCTGTGTCTGTGCGTGCGTGGGCAGAAGCACAGCAAACCTGGAGCTGAGCCCTGAGCCCTCACCACGCAGAGGAAACTAGTCAAAGCACTTGTTTTTGTTGTTTTGTGTGTGTGTGTGTGCGCGTCTGATACAGGGTCTCACCATGTTGCCCAGGCTGCCCTCGAACTCTTGATTCAGGTGATCCTTCTGTCTCAGTCTCCCAGGTAGGTGAGATTACAGGTATATAAGCTCTCACACGAGGCTTTCAAAAAACTAGTGCTACTAGTTTTTGCTTTTCTTCCCCCCACCATTTCTCCTCTTCTCCTCTTTACCCTCTTCTTTTTTTCCCTTGAGACAGGGTCTCAACTTTGTAATAAAGACTGAATTCGAACTAGCAGCAATCCTCCTGCTTCAGCCCCAAGTGCTGGCATTACAGGCATGCACCCCCACACCTGACTTCAAAGGCTTTCTAATATCTAATTTGCCTCTGTAAAAAATGGAAAGCATCCATCCTCTATATTATAAAGAGTAACAATATAAAGTCAAAATATAAAAAATAAAGAAATATACACCAAAGCCCAGCGTCCTGCTTAATAAGGGGCTTATACCAAGAATATTAACCAAAGGGGCACCTCTGTGGCCGTGCCTGGAGGCTTTGGGCAGAGCCTCGGAGGAGGAGGCAGGAGAGCACGCAGGGCCCGCTCTGCCAAGGAGCAGCATTAGTAAAGGCTGTGTTCTCACCTGCACGGCAGGAAGGGCAGCCCGCCTACCCCACCGAGTGACTGCAGAGCACAGGGAGGGAACGGAGGCCAAGCAAGATTATATGACATGAAGTTTTACATGTTCCAGACTGCACTGCTCAAAATGCATCACAGGGCTGATCATGACGAAGTAAATAACTAAAATCAGCTGTGTGTGAACACAGAGTAGGGAATGAATGACGAATTCCCTGAAACAACCTAGCCCAGACTCGGGCCCCCATGCTGTCAGGAAGAGCCGCACGGACCTCAAGACCCTTAAACCTTTCTGTCCCCTGCTTCCTGATGAGTGAAGTGGGACAGCCAGAAGTCACAGAATTAGAAAGGAAAGCTAAGACTTAAAGCTGAAAGGAACTCTACAGATTTTCCAGTGCAATCTATTTTACAGCTTGGTTTTTTTTTTTTTTGGTACCGGCAATCGGACTCAGGACCTCGCACTTGCCAAGCAGGCCCTGGCACCACTGAGCTATATCCCTGGCCCTCTTTCACAGCTAAGTATGAGGTTCGGAAGGACTTAAGACATCTAGGTGTACCTATTTACTCTTTGAGAAGAAATTTCCTGGTATGTGTGAGTTGTACACACACGAGGTGGCATAGAAATTAATATACACTCAGAGAGGGACTGAGCACTCAAGGAAGTCAGCAGAAAAATAAAGACATCAGAATTGTAGCTGGAGGCGCAACTGTCGAAGGCCAGCCCTCAAGATAAAGATGCAAAGACCAGGCCTACATGCTTCCCTAAGGAATAAGCAGTAACTTACAATTATATATAATTGGTATCGCCTGGTCCAGTAAAGTCCAGATAGACATCAGTCATCCAAGTGGGTGACCAGAGCATCTAGACCCATCCTTTCCCCAAAATGCCTTTGTTCTTATGTCCCCTTGCTACATGACCCACTTTACTACAGGATCAATATAAGCTAAGCAGATATACTTGTAATCTTATTGGGTGAATATAGTTTGACCCACATTTTACCCAGCTCTTGATTTTGTACCCACCTCATGACTTTGCTCTATAAAACATTCTTAGAGGAATAGCCTTGGTGGCACCCTACTTCCAGGACCCCTCCGGTCTCTCAGGAGCTATCCCTATCCCCTAATAAACCTTTCCTATTCTTCACCTCCTTGTCCTTTGGAATTCCTTCTCCGATCTCAGGGGACATGAACTTGGTGCGCTTGACACCTAGAAGGTTCAGAGTGACACTTCTCCTATATCCCCTCAGCCCCAGTGTGGCCCCTAACATAGCCTCCATGTTAAGGAGCAACTTAATTTAGTGGAAAAGAGTGTGGGAGTTGGCCAGATCTGTATTTGCTGTGTAATTTTTGCCAAGTTATTTAGTTTCTGAACTTTATTATTTTTTAAAAAAAACCTTTATTTTATCAGTTGTATAAATTAATGGGTTTCACTGTGGCAGATTGGTACATGCACACAGCATAATTTATAAGCTTTAACTTCTTTTTTTTGTTTTTCTCCAGTACCGGGAATCAAACTCACAACCCTGCAATTGCCAGGCAGGCGCTGTGCCACTGAGCTAAATCTTCAGCCCCTAAGCTTTAATTTTCTTATTGTGACATAAAGACCATGTTATTGGGAGATTTAACTGTGAGTGCCGCATGACTGACCACAAGTTTGAGCCTAGCCTGGACAACTTAGCAAGACCTTGTCTCAAAATAAAAAAAGTTTTTTGTTTGAAGAACACACTGAAGACATGCACTCAAGAGACGTACCTCTTTTCAATCCTAGTGCAAGCCAGTCCCTAAAAGCTAGTTCACAGGAAAGAGGACACAACAGCTTACAGCAGGGCTGCACTTGGTGTCACCTCTTCCCAGTGATCTGAGATAGACCAGAGTGAATTAGAGTATAGTAGGTCAGCGAGGAGACTTTTTTCCCTCAGATATAGATATATATATATATGTATTTTTAATATTCCAGAATGTGGCTCTCAACCTAGCAAAGAGTTGTGATCAAAGCAGGCCAAAGAATTCAGGTTTCATTTCCTTACCTCTGTCCATCTGATGACTTTTCCATTTGCTTTATACTCGGAGCCATGGAATATCTTCACGTTTGTTATAGACTCCATGGACTTCCCATCTATAGGACTTATGATACTGAAACAGAAAGGAAATGACAGGTCTTCTCAAGCCTTCCTATGAATTACACCAGGTGCCTCACTGACTGCACCTCATCATAGCAAGAAGTCACTGTACAAAAACCAAGTAACAGAAGTCTAATGGGAAGGGTCTATGCGCTAACATGACAGAGAACACACATACAGAAAAAGAGATGTTGTGCCGGGCATGGTGGTGCATGCCTGTAATCCCAGCAGTCTGGAGGCTGAGGCAGGAGGAACATTGTGAGTTCAAGGCCATCCTGAACTGCATAGTGAGACCCTGTCTCAAAAAGACCAAAAAAAAAAAAAAAAAAAAAGTTTGTCCAGGAGCTGGCATTTTTTTTAAGGAGGGGTCTTGCCATGTGCTCCAAACTGGCCCTGTAGCCCTACCTGGCCTCCTGATCCTCCTGCCTCAGCCTCAGATTACAGGCATGTGTCAGCAGGCTGGGCTCAGGAGCTGGCTCTCCTAAAGCAAACAAATTTAATCAAACCTGCTCGTCCAGAATTCCTTCCTTCTGTGAGTGCATGGCCACTCACCCAGTCTTCTCCATTCTGCTCCCGCCTCTCTAACACTCACCATGTAACACTCATTTTATGTTTGCAATCTGCCTTCCAAATGACAGGGAGCATGGTACGATCACTTCTGTGTGATGTATATCCATGACTGACCCAAAGTTTGGAACTTAGGAGTTCAATGAATGTTTATTTATTAAGAATTATTTGACCAAGTGTGTTAACTACAACAGTGCTGGTGTAAACTGCTAAACCAGTACCTATGTATTTATCAAACAAATTCCCTTCAGTGCTATGTTATCGCTCCTAGGTTCCAAGTAAAGTAAGGATGTGGTAAGGATTCCAAATGATTGACACAAAGGTTCTAGGCTCTTCCTAACGACTTTCAAACCTGTTTGGTCTCGATTCTCTGTATATTAAAAGTCAAATTAAACACCAGGCATTCACTTCATTCACTCAAAATTACTAGACCAACATAAGGTAAAGTTCTAATTCATCAGGCAACAATGTAAAACAAACAAACAAAAAAAGGCATCCCAGGGGCTGGGGTGGAGCTCAGTGCAGAACATATGCTTAGCATGATCTTGGCCCATTTTCAACCCCCTGCCCCGCCCCACCCCACACACAAAGGCATCCTCAGTCGACTAGCATACCTTGAGACAAAACAGACATTCAAGGACAAGCTGGAAATACTGTGTTTATGCATTACAAAGAGAACTCCTGAGTGCCAGCATGTTCCCTGGCTACTTTTTATCCTGCTTTCTAAGCAGCTGCTACAGGTAGCTGCTGTAGGGAGAGGCAGTCTGCTGTTGTTAGTTACTGACACCTTTTAGCACTAGATTTTCAATTAAGCACTTTTTGGTCCTATTAATTACATTAGTTTCAACTCTGAGAGAGTTAAACACAAGGTGATTTTGAAAATGAATTTTCCAATGAAGAACAGGAAGATAAAAGGTTACCTATAATATCAGCAACTA